CATACGAGTGAGAAAGTGTCTTCATATCAATAATTTAAATAATTATTTTAGCGGCCTTTCTCAAGAAATTCCCACTTAGTTATTGTAGATGTTGCATCTACTCTCAAATATGACAAATTTTTCAAAAAAATTTTTTTGTGCACTTTGTATTTATATATACCGTACATTAAAAAAAAAAAAAAAGTAAATCCTGCTAGCACTTCTCTTAAAACTTAAAAGTGAAAATTTTGCTAAGGACTAAAAGGTGCCAATAGGGTAACAAAGTAAAATTAGTAAATTACGCTGCTCTTGGGTTTGAGTTATAATTAAAAAATGATATAGGTTTTTTTTATTAATAATATGATATAGTTACTCTAGAATAATGAAATAATAATTAATCTCAATCTCTTTATTAATTGAATCTTATTAAAAAGTAAATATAAAATTTTAATAAATAATAACTGTGTTTTTATAAAAATTGGGTAAATTTTTTTTATAAGTATAAAGGAAAATTTTTGACAGCTAAAGGGGGGATTAATTGAGTACAACCAACAAATTAATGAAATGATCACCTACCCTAAGTTTAAGGCGCGCCCCAAGGCGGACCCACCTTCACCAACCTATAGAAAAAAAATTAAAAAAATTAATAACAATAAAAAAAATCATAACGGCCGCCGGTTCACATTTTCTTCCGAAGAACCACCTCCGTATCCAGCCCGAATCCGTCAACTTTCCGAATGCGAACCACCTCCGATCTCGTAAACAGCTTCACCAACGCCTCCACGCTGTATAGATCGTTCGCCGAGTACTTATCCGCCCGCTTTAACAACGCCACTTGCAGCACGCAAATCCCGCCTGGCTTCAACGTCCGCTCGATCTCCGCCACGAACCGCTGCGGGTACAACGCGTGGTCGAACACGTTCGAGAATTCGAAATCAAATGTGTCGTTTCTAAACGGTTGGTTATGGAAGTCTCCCTTTATCACTAGCGGCGGACACGGCACTAGGTCGATGCCGACGGAATCCGCCACGCCCACGCGCTTCAACGCCTCGACTTCCTGTCCTACGCGCGCCCCGATGCAGAGGGAGCGCGACGCATTGGAGAGAAGCTTCTCGCTCTTCAAAACCTGGAAAAAGCTGGAAAAGACCAGAACTTTGCGGTCCCAGTCACGGGTTTTCCATATTTGTCTTAATTTGGGGTTGAGGGTTTTGTTGAGTTGGCGTTGAATGTAGGAGTCGTAGGAGGTGTATCCCCGTCGAATTTTGAGCCCGTCGGAGTCGGTTTTCCGGTCTCTGATGGGTACGGATTTGTGGGGTTGGCGGAGGAAGAGGAGGAGGAGGAGGGCAGCAGAGAAGAAGAGGGAGAGGAGGAAGCGCTTAAGTACGAGGGGTTTGGTCGGGAGTGTCATTCCTGCGCCTCCGCTCGTTGACTTTCTCCGTCTGAAATTGCCGTCGACTGGCTTCCCTGTCCCTGTGTGAGGTAATGCGTCCTTATCGCAGCAGGATGGAACAAAGGAACAAAGGAGATGACAGAGAGAAAGTTCCGCCTTTATCTCCTTTTCCCACGGGTTTGTATTTTTCTGCTGGTTGCATTGGACATATCAAATTCCTTAAAAAAACAATTATTATAGGTAAAGTATCTATATAGGTTTTTACCCACAAGTTGAGAGTTTTACGGGAAAAAAAATATTGATGTTCAATTTATTAATTATTTAATTAAATTTATACACATAATAATAATATTAAAATTATCATTAATTTTATATTTTTTATATAAATTTATAACATAAAAATATTCTTAAAACACATATTAAAAATCACCTATAAATATTCTGAAAGAGACTCAATCAATAAGTTTTCTTAAAGAAGTTATTATGAAATTATAATAAAGTAAAATTAGAAAAAAAAAAGTTTTTAAACAATTACAAATTTGAGTGAAGGGTTTTAAACCTAATATTTAAAGTTGGAATATGTATCTTTTACAAAAATTTATAACTAATTCACTTTCTAAGCCATGTGTAGTTAGAAAAAATATTTAATGCATGGTTTGAAATAGAAATTAATAACTAAATCGGTACATTTATAGAAACTGTCACAACTAAATAGGGTAATAAACTAATAGAGTAGGAGGGGGTATCGATTTGGGTCTTAACCTTAAGTGTGAGTTACAAAGTTATACTCAACTTTTTGCAACCATGCAATTTCAATTTTGATCATTAACGTTTTTTACATTTTAATTAATTAACCAACTAATGGAACTCAAAGTTATTCTTTGAGTATTAAAATATTCAAGCTACTTCTCATAAAAAAAACAATTAAGTTTTATTTCTAATATTTTTATGTAAATGATTTCAAAGATGGAAGGATAAAATGTATTTTCTCTGTTCCATTTTAATATTTTTAATTTGACCTTTTAATATTTTGAAAATGAATTTCATATAAAATAATTTATTTAAACAATAACTGAAAATAGTTTTTTTCTTATATATAATTTTTATTGGGTACTTTTATTTGATAAAAAAATTTCAATTTTATTTATATAATATATTAAGTTTTCATCTAAATTTCATATCCAAAAATCAAAAAATAAAATTAGGATTATTAAAATTGAATGAAGGACAATTTAGATATCATTTGAAGTTAAGGGCCTAATTTAGTGCTAATGTCATAAGCTGAGGGAGTAAATTGGGTATTAAGTTATCCCTTAAATACTCTTGAACATTTCACGAAAAGTTTGAGGACTAAATTATGATTTTGACTTTGTAGAATGAAAACAAGAAGAAAAAGAAAAGGTGTAACTCCATTGCCTATTTTCAAACAAAAAAGAAAAAAAGAAAAAGGAAAAAAAGAAAAGGTGTGACGGGGCCAATGAAAGTAATACACGTGTAGGTAGCTGCATGCAATGATCAAATTAGTGGTTCTTATCTGGAATAGCTAGCTGTATGCAAGTTATTTTTTTTAGTATTTTGAGTTAAAAATGTAATTTTCAGTTTAAATTAAATAATTTAAAATATTAAATGGACTAATCAGTCTGATTTTTTAATATTAAAAGTTAT